CGTGAAGGGTTTATGTCCCAGATGACAAATCCCCTGAAAAACATCGACATTTGGAACCAATAAATAGCTGCAAATCTGGAATTATTATATTTTTTGCGGCCATTTTGAATTTTGTTGGCCATTTTGGATTGAGGCCAATTTCTGGGTGGTCCTCGATTGATCTTGAATGGTTTATGTTCCAGGTGACAAATCAACTGAAAAAAAACATTGACATAACCGAATAATATGCTACGTTTCTCTAATAATTGTGATTTTTGTGGCCATTTTAGATTTTGGAGACAATTTTGGATTTGAATTCTTGGCCCTTGATTGATCTTGAAAGACTTAGGTCTGAGGTGACAATTCCAATTTTTTAAAAAAGTTGACAACACCGAATAAATATGCTGTAATCTCTAATAATTTTAATTTTGGCGGCCATTTTGGATTTTGGAGGCCATCTTGGATTTGAGGTAAAAATCTGGGTGGCCCCAAGTTTATTTCAAATAGTATGGGTCTGGATGATAAAACCGCCGAAAAACCCTTGACCGGAAAAAATGGCAGTTTATCCTTTGATGGGCCCTGTTTTAATGCGCAACTTGGTACTTTAGCTGCTCTACTATAGCAGTTAATTAGGGTCTTTGAATATTGTAAGAATTTAAGTGCTAAGGAAAATTTTTACATTTGCGGTTGACATGTTATGACATTTGAGGTAAAAATGGAAATTTCTACATTTTTAGGTGAAATGTTACTACATTTGTGGTTAAACTGATTTTTACATTTGTGGGAGATTTTTTTTTACATTTGTGGTTGACATGTTATGACATTTGCGGTTTTGACATTTGTGGGTAGAATGTTTTGACATTTGTGGTTATTTTTGCATTTGTGGCAGATTTTTACATTTGCGGGCTCTACAGAGTCCCAAACAGAACAACAATATTTAAGAATAGGCAAAACCAGGAATTTGTATTAAAACAAAAATAAAATAGTTGGCTTTCATGCCAAAATTAACTCTTGAAACAAAACCAAGGCATTTAGAGGCTCTTGAGCAGACATTTTTAATATGAGATCTAAAAGTTAAGTCTGCAGAAATTGTTACTCCAATGAGTTTCGCTTCTCGAACTATTGGAATCTGGGTATTATAAATAGTGTAGATTGATGGAGAAATGTCTGCTCGGGGCCCCTAGATAAACGAATAATCCTAAAGGCAAGCCATTATTGTTGCACCAACATACAGAATTATCAATGTCGTTCTGGAAGCGACCGACCCATCCGCATCCGACTCAACAGTGCACGACAGGGTGGTGTCATCGGCAAACTGATCGAATCGACAAGACATATGGTGAATAAAGTCTACATAGTCCACATAGATCAAAACAATAGTGGTCCGATAACACTGCCCTGTGAAGGGAAGAAGCCAACAAGAAGAGAAGAAAGACATTTTAATGTTTTTCAACATATTCTTTAATTATTCATTTTTAATAAAAGCTTACTATGATCTACCTTATCGAATGCACATGAAAAGTCAAGTAGGGCCACTTCAATGAACGTACACACGTATATGTCTGTCCACTCATGATTCAGATTTGCAAGTAATAACTCACAACTTCGACCCTCTTGAAACCCATATTGACAATGAGGGATTATATTTAATACATCCAAATATGCAATACTCTCTCGAACACTTTACTAACTACTGAGGTTAAAGACACCGGCCGATAATTGCATACATCACCTTAGGGATTTCCACGACCTTCAAAGACCAGGACAATATTAGCAGTTTTCCAACCCGTAGGAACTACACCCCGGAACAAAATATGATTAAATATCTTGCAGAGGCCAGGTGCTATTGCATCACTGCCTTGTTTTATTACTTTCGGAACAATGTTGTCCGGCCCCATGGCAGAATTTTCATCCAATGAATCAATAGTAGCTTTGACCTAGAATTGAACTCTTTTGAGAAAGCATTAGCAACCTCCACAGGGGTTGAGATAACTTTGTCATCAACTATGAAAGCGAGAGATGATGATGCCCCCTTCATCGAGACCAGAGAGCGTAATGATGTATAACGAGTAAGTTCTTTTACATATGATTTAAAAGATTTCCGAGACAATGCTTTAACCCGATTACTTATAATTCTTAAATTTAACGCTTGTAAATGTAACATAAAGCTGAAATTTTTTAGTACATAAATTGCGCAAATCTGATGTAACCCACTTATTATTCTTAGATTAAACTTAGCTCTCGGGATTGCATCATTCATGGCAGCTCTTTCAATATCGACTCATCCATTCCAAATTACATACTCATGAAATAAATTTCGAAGGAAGGTACGATAGAGATTTGTTAAATGACCCCAGTCAGCCTTACCATATCTGTAGGCTAGTCTGGCCCACACTTTTGAAAACTACGATTATAGTTAAAATTCATGCGAACCGGAAGGTGATCGCACTTGGGCAGACTATCCACAATGTCAACATTGTTTACTAAAAGGGGATTAGAGACCCAAACATGATCTAGTGTGTGCCCAGTTCCAGATTTGGTAAAGTAAGTTGGTGAATCAACAAATTGGGTGAACCCATAACATTCGAGACTATCAAAAATATCGGAGACACTGACGAAAGGTACTTGGTAAAGGTAAAAAATAAGGATTAAAGTCTCCAAGAAAAACAACTGACAAGATTAAAGCATTTTTAATACATGTTAACATGTCCGTTTCATAAGTCTTATTTTAATTAGATGGTCTATAGCACGTACCAAACAGTACAGCACACGACTTTGTCATCACTTGTATACACAGTATCTCGCAGTTTTCTGATTCCAAATTCTTACGACAAACTGGTCAGAGAGAGGGTAAGGAAGCAAAAAGTATTCCACCGCCATGGCAATAGCTATCTCGTCGCAAGTCCACATACTCGTTCAGAATCAGTTCCCCATCATGGATATTATTGTCCGGCCAGGTTTCACTTACCAATATAATAGGATGAGGCAATGTGCACAACGAAACATTTATATCAATATTTTTAGAAATAAGACTGCGTGCATTAAATGATAGGACGGTTAACGTATTCCTTGTACGAGTCAACAGTGGATACATTATTTAATGAATTTACAGTATTATTATAGGCCGACTGATCAAAATAAGAGTCGGAGAATGGTGGTAATCTACAATCCGTGCAAGACCAAGTTGATTCATTTGATTCGTGAAATTTCAACTCTTGATGAGCTAGGCCACTGCATTTCTTTCAAACAAATATCACAAATATCGCAGTAAATACTTTTATGATTGCGACCAATGTTTTGCTACAGCCACCGCAAAATATCTTGGCAGGAGGTGAAATTGGATGTGTAGGCAATAAAGCCGAAGAAGCAAGTACATCGGCTTCCTTAACCATTGGTTATCAATGGTTAAGGTATAATACTCATATTATATTTGGAAATAAGCCTACAAATTAATGAATACCATAGAGTTTCGAATAACATAGTGATGGAACAATTTTAATTTCACTTAACTTACTAAATTCAGCCCGAATCAATAATGAATCATTGTCACACTTTAGATAAGTTGTGTATTGTACAGTCACTTTTGAATTATTAAAAGTTTTAAAATTAAATTCTGTGTTTGCTTCTGCTAGGCCTTATACCGATTACACTTTAATTTTAGTCAATTATGACAGACAACCTATATACTGTAGGTAAACCCCCTTGCACAGGGTCAGATCATAGTCAGAGCTTGTTGCAACCCTATAAGAACCTGTGCATCTTTTAGAATTCACTTGTTCTATCGTCGACGATTCACTTGTTTTATCATCGACGATTCACTTGTTTTATCATCGACGATTATTTTTGTTTAATCATCGACGATTTACTTTTTACATCATCGGCAGTTCACTGGTTATCATCGAATTGTTTAACTTGAAAGGCGTTCCATTTAAAACTACATATGTTAGGAATGATGGATAACCTCAATCAAACAATAACCAGCTTATTAGCTAGGTCATTACGACCCTTTCCAAAGCCTTCATGAAATCTACGGCAGAGAGATTAAGGTGCTACCGTTGCTATCGAAAAAACTTTCTCTCAAACACAGTTCCTTATGAGCCTAAGATGCAAATTTCTATTCACTCTGTTTATTCTTATTTTCACACTGTTTGTTAATGGCTAATGTTGTTGGGGAGTTTAATATTTTTTTGCAATAAATATTTGCATATTTATTTAAAAAGTGTTGATTGAATTTTTTTTTTCTTTTGTTATATTTACATAGCCCTGTTTCGCTATATCCATGTACTGTATATAATCGATCCGCTCGTTGTTGTATTAAAGAGGTTTAACATTGGAAAGCCCATCAATCGAGCTTGTACGCCGTCCAGACATGTTTCCCAGTATATAGTGTACTTGTATATGTAAGTCAAAACGGCCTTGTGAAAAACACAAATATGTGATTTTATCCAATTTAAAATAAAGTTATTATTATTATTATCCTTTTTTACACCACTACACTGAATTGAATACTGAAATAATGTCCAACATAAAAGAAAGAAATGTATTCGAAAACTGGCAAACATTTAAAATCACAAAACACTGTACCAATATTGAAAACTATAATTATTATAAACAATGACAAATTTAAATATGTTAATATGTTTAAGACGAATCAAATTTATATACAAAATACATAAAAAGGGAGGTCTGCAATTCATTAAGCAGCGATACATTATAAAATAATAATAATTATTATTATTTGACTCCTGGAGGTATAAAATAACTATTGAAATAGGGCCTAATTATTTCATACCTCCACTAGTGATAGTACAAAAACAAATGCTAACCTACAACTTTCTTCTGGCCCGAGAATTATTTAGGTGGATGGAATTGGCTACAAATGTATAAATTGAGTACTGATTTTTCTTTTTCTTTTTTTTCGTAAATTTCTTTTTTTCTTTGAACCAATACATTTACAGCGCCTGCGAACATTTTAAATGGATATTGTTTGCGCTTATTAAATATTTATCTAATAATTGTTATACCCGCAAGGAGATATATGTTTTCAGTCGTGTAAGTTTGTCTGCGTTTGTGTGTGTGTGTGTGTGTGTGACGTTTTGGTGTTTTCGTGATTTTTCTTTTACGACATCTCAAAAAGCAGACATAATTGAAAATAACACAGAGTGTTAGGTATAACCCAATGAAGAAATCAACTAATCAACTGATATAAATACAATTTTGGTGGAAGTTTAACCAAGTTACAAGGAAGATTTTATTAAGTGTTGGTGACGATTCAAATAAGGGTGTGAACTTGAGGGTCATTTACATTTTAAGGTCGTGCGTGTTTCTTGTGTTCAAAATATCTCAAAAACAGCTGCACAGATCTAAATGGCAGTTACAGGGATTGTTAGGTATGATGAGGTGATTACATTTTGTAAATAAAGTAGTGATTTAAAGGCAAACATTCTACACCAGATATTTAAAAAAAACGGGTCAACTGACCTATATTAAACTTGCGGAAAAATTTAACCAAGTTACAAGGAAACATTATTATGTGTTGGGGAAGATCCGAGTGTAAATTTGAGGGTCATTTAAATTTTTGAGGTCCCAGACCTAAATAACTCTTAAAAATCAATGGGTATAATTAGAACTTTGTATAACAGTTTGTCAAGATCTAGTAAAGAAATGATTATATTTTTGTGACAGTCTGTGGAGTCAAAGCAGTCTTGAAGTGTTTCAATTACATCCTCATGTTATTAATCTTAACGTTTAAATGATAAGAGGAATGTAAATGGTAATCGTTGAGCTAGGAAAACAGCTTCTTATAATAAATATTAAATTCTATCTGAATAATTTGTTTTTCATTTGTGGAACTTTGTATAACAGTTTGTCAAGATCTAGTAAAGAAATGATTATATTTTTGTGACAGTCTGTGGAGTCAAAGCAGTCTTGAAGTGTTTCAATTACATCCTCATGTTATTAATCTTAACGTTTAAATGATAAGAGGAATGTAAATGGTAATCGTTGAGCTAGGAAAACAGCTTCTTATAATAAATATTAAATTCTATTTGAATAATTTGTTTTTCATTTGTGGCATAGAAGGGGTCGCTGAGCGCTTAAAACACAAATCAACAGTGTACCATAATATATTCCACTAAGCCGCACTATGTTGATGTGCTTTGTTTTTTGCTTTTGTGATATCTATTTATTTTCTTCAGGCTCATTTTTTTTCTTTTTTCCCTTCTTTGGCTTGGTAACTACATCATCCATAACTTTTGCAACAGGTTTGTTTGATTTCAATCGCTTTTTAAAATCATTTACCATCAAGCAGGCTGTCTGTTCATCTCCTCCGCCACCTTAAGAAGAAAAGGTTAAATATTAACACTGTTACAGATAAAACTAAATAATTATAAAAGAATAAAAGAATGTTACAATCTGCCATTGTAACGCCCAATTCACTATCATATGCCACCACAAAAGAAATATTTTTAAGGTTTCTTGGGCTATATATTTATGTTATTCTTTTAAGTAATTGTACTATTTTACTTTTTTGTTTCAGAGGATTTTTTATGAATAAAAAAAAATAATAAAAAATGAACATGGCGGAATTGCGATTATTATGTCATCTTAATCTATGTATCTCACCAAAGGGTATCGTAAGAAATACGTTTTTTGAGTATGCCTGTATAACAGATATTTTGAAACGTATTCACATCATTGGTATTTACCGTCCTGGACCAACTAAAAAGAACGGTTACAAAATCTCATTTTTATAAGAATTTAATTACTTTTTATGTAAAGTTTTGATTTTATCTGGTAAACCGGAAATTATTCAGATATAAACGTTCACATTGATATATGGTAAATTTCCCCAAAACTTTGGGTCGATATGCGAGAGCATTTTTCAACAATATATTGTATACGTGGCTATTTCAATCCACACACTCGGACGCATTCTTGATCACATGATTTGCCGTTCTGATGATCACATTTTACCTGAATCGATCCAATGCAGTGTACGTCATACTAGGAGGTGTCACTGGTTCTTAATGATCAAATTTGATTGAATTCGGTTCAATCGTTTGCCATTAGTAACATTTTGAACCTTTGACCTATGAACTTTGACATATGGGGTGAAGAGTATTTTTTCATGTTTAGAAGGTCCTAAGGACCATTCCTGGTAAATTTGAGCTCAATTAGTCTATTTTGAAAATTTAACCCCGGTGACCCCTATGTGACCTCTGATTCCAGACTGGGGTGTAGGAGGTGTCGCCGGTTCTTAATGACGAAATTTGATTGAATTTGGTTCAATGGTTTGCCATTAGTAGCATTTTATAATGTTACTAGAGAGAACAAAAGAATAACCCTTTAATGACCTTTGACCGTAAATCGCTGAACACCACAAGACCCTACATTATGCCAATACATAGGTGCGCAGGACAAGACTGTGCTATGATATTTGTGAAAGAAAAAGTCTTTTATTCTTTTTTTTGAAAGTTTTTTACCCTAATGGCCCCTATGTGAACTTTGACCCCAAGCAGTGAGCACCCCATGTATGAAAGGTGTCGCCGATTATACTGACCAGGTTTAGTTGAAATCGGCACAACCGTTTGGCACTAGTAGCGTTTTAAAATGTTGCCAGAAAAAAGATAAAGAATTACCCCTTAATGACATTTGACCTCTTATCCCTGAACACCCTATAGACTCTGCCTTATGCCAATGTATATGTGCAAAGTACAAGACTGTGCTACGTTATTTGTGAGACGAGTAGTCTTTTATAGGATTTTTGGTTTTTTGACCATAATGCCCCTTATGTGACCTTTGACCCCAAGTTGTGGATAACACATAAATGGGAGGTGGCACCGGTCCTACTGACCAAGTTTTAATTAAATCGGTCCAGTAGTTTGCCACTAGTAGCCTTTTAAAATGTTGCCAGAAAGAAAGAAACTGCTAAGAAACAGAACCCAGTCAGCTGCTGCTGACTGGGTAAAGAAAGAAACTGCTAAGAAACAGAACCCAGTCAGCTGCTGCTGACTGGGTAAAGAAGGAAGAAACTGGTAAGAAACAGAACCCAGTCAGCTGCTGCTGACTGGGTAAAGAAAGAAAGAAGAAACTGCTAGGAAACAGAACCCAGTCAGCATGCTGCTGACTGGGTAACAAGACAAAAGAAAAAAAAAAACACATGAAACATGGGATAAGATTGAATCAGTTACATGAAGTATACTCATGAAATGTACTAATTGGTTAAATTTTGTGAAAGGGTTTGCTGTGTTAAACATTAATTTTTTTTTATTGTTAAAATAACATACGATACAAATCTTGGGCTGATGGTATTTAGTACAAAACAATACAAAAAATTCTTACTTGAGACGGCACAGTGTATGATATCAGTCAAGTCATCCTTAGACAAGTTGCCTACCAGTGCCAACTGAGCCAAGAAATCTTTTTCTCTTTCCTAAGGAATTTACAGAAGACGTGGATTAAAATATCACATAAAGATGTGTACATGATAAATAATGGAAAATAACCGTTATTATTGTTGCCGTTGCCGCTGTAGCTGCTGCTGCTGTTGATGTTTTAACTTAATAAGTACTGAGAATATTATAATACTAATTTTAATAATAATAATAATAATTTATTGGCTTTCTCTTTCAAAGCAGAGGAACACTCTCACGCAGGAGAGGTTCGACCATACAACAGAACAAAAGTTACAAGTAAAGATAAATTCATAAAAAAGAGACAATAGTAATGATCTGTCTCTTATACACATCTAGATGTGTATAAGAGACAGAAGTAAAGATAAATTCATAAAAAAAGAGACAATAGTAATGAAAAATCCAAATCCAATTAAAATAATATAATATTCTAAAGTTTAAAATCTTAACTAAAAGGGGAAAAAAAATAAAAATAAAAAAAAAATAAAAAATAAAAATATGTAATAATAAAATAAAGTAAATAAAAATAGATAAATAAATAAAAACAAGCACATAATATAATAAATGCAATGTGAAACTGATGTAAAAGCATACATATCAAAAATACAACAGAAGTATAGTCAATCTATTCATAAAATCATTAAAGAGAAAAAAAGGGGGAAAAAAACACTTATAAGCTATTAACGTTATTAACAGGGTCATTTAAAACATGTGTTCGTTTTTCGTTTTTTTTTTTAATAACAATTAAGTAATAATAATCATATAATATTATTGATTGGGACTGCAACAGAATAATCTCATATCACATTTTTTGAGACGAGATGATGGTATTGATAATGTAGATGTACTGGTCATCTTCAGCGACTAAGAACACGTTTCAGCTTCACAGTTTGAAAATATAAACTTTAAAATAAAAAAAATAAATAATAACTGTCTAATTGGTATATTTCATTATATACATTTTCACCACAAACAACTTTGGTTCTGAATTACTGTTTTTTGTTAACAATCACAAATTACTTTTCGTTATAATTCAATCACATATTGTATTCACTTTATTAATTTATCTGTTTCATTCTCAAAATATATTGTTTTCATTAAACGCACTACTGGCCACTAACATTTGATCCATTTTATTATCTACTTTATGTCGCCCTATTTTTAAATATGCTCGTCCAATTTAGAATAAAAAAAGGTAACATGGATAGAGTTGAGAGAGGATTGACCATGATAATTTCATGTAAGATGACTACATAGAATCCCCATCAAACTTCAACTTCCAGGTAAGTCTCGCTTAATGGGAGGATTCTATTACGTCATCATACACTCAGGGATCCCATGAGATTTTAAAGCAACGTCGTGGAAGAAGTAAAAAACTAAACACAATAATACAATTCTCTGCATACACGCGTATACTTTATTCCTTCAATAAACTGAGCTTACAACTTTAACACATTCTCAGCAAATGGATCATCCGAGTAAATTACATGTTTATCATAAAACTTCGCAAAAGTGCACTCTGAAGACCACCCTGCCTTCATTAAAATATTCTCAATTGGAACACCATTTAGCTTAGCTTTGGAAGAAGTAGCCGCCCTAATACTGTGAGACTTAAACAAAGAAAGATCAATGCCAGCCTGTGCCATAACTGACCGGAGCCACCTACTTATTGTGGACTTCGTTACAGGCTTAAATGGACTAATGAAACTAATAAACAATTGAGAAGTACTACCTCGAATACTCTGTGTCCAAGAAATGTATGCATCTAACGCTTTGTAAACACACAACTTGTCATCAACCAAATAAAGTTTCAAAACAACTGGAGGGTTTGAATAGCCAGGACGGCTTTGCTTAAGTAACCCCGAGGAAACAAACACATAAGAATAATTCATCTTCCTCATATTATCTAGGTTCAAAAGATGAAGAGACTGACAGCGAGCAGCCAGTACCAAAGATAAAAGTATAGCACATTTCATTGTCAAATCTTTTAAACTTAGCTCCTCTAACGGAGAATACGAGCGCAAAAATTGTAAAACAGGCGCTACATCCCACACACACGTATATCTTGGTTCTGTAGGTCTTAAGTTAAACACACCCTTTAAAAATCTAACTACCAGTGGGTGAGAACCAATTGACGTGTGTTGGTTTGATGTAGGCCAGACTGGTGCTATAATTATTCCTGTCGCTTTGTCCATAGCACCTTTCTGTAAACATCTTCCTAACAAGCTGAAAGGAGGAAATGCATAAAAATAATGAGGATGCCAATCTATTGTAAAAGCATCAACAAACATAGCTTGTGGGTCTGGCCGCCATGACACAAATTGCTTAACTTGAGTGTTAAGCCAGGAGGCAAAAAGATCAATTGTAGGACAGCCAAAAATAGTTACAACACGCGAAAAATATTTGTATTCAATTGCCATTCTGTTCGATCATTAAATACCCTTGATTCATGATCTGCCTCCACATTCTGAGCCCCTGGCAAATGAGTTGCTGTAAGCCATATATCTCTGTCCCTGCACCAAATCCATATCTTATGAGCCACGTTATTGCAATCAATGGACCGGACACCACCCATATTATTTATGAAAGCTACAGCAGTAGTATTGTCTGAAAATATTTTCACATGTTTCCCAGAAACAATCTTATCAAATGATCTTAATGAATGATATATTGCAAGCAATTCCAGAACATTATGATATATACACTCTTCTGCTGACCATCTTCCGCCACTCCTAATACCCTCGCAACTTACACCCCAACCTAGAGTCGAGGGATCACATGAAATAGCAATATGAGGGTTACATCTATGAATGTGCCGCTTTTCATGAGGCAAGTTTTGGATCCACCAATTCAAATCTTGTTTCATCTCAGTGGAAATTACCATATCCATTTCAAAGTTACCATGTGCTTCAATCTTTGCCATTTCCAAAGATCTATAAAATAAAGGCCCATATTCGACCCCAGGGAAACTGGACACCATCAACCCAATAACTCTCGCAACTAAGCGTATAGGCCCTGACCTGGAACAACAAAGTACAGAGCATTCTGATATTAGCCGTTCAACCTTCTCATTAGACAAGATCACAGTCATTTATTGAATCAATATCAAACCCAAGGAATGTGAGGGAATGAGAGGGTGTCAAGACTGACTTGACCCTGTGATGAATAAAGCCCAGTTTATCAACAAGAGCAATTGTATCATTGATATTCTTCTGGCATGACTCATAATCACCACCCACCAAAAAGGAATCATCAATATAAGCCATAACATTATGACCTAAGCTACGAAGCATATACCGGTTTTTATTTATTTATTTCATTTCATCAAACCAACAGCGAATCATCGCCACTAACAGGCTGGTAAAATATATAAAATTTAAATACAGTATATCAAATATATAGACGAAAGAGTACAAAAATCTCACCTATTCAAATGATTAATAATAATAGAACGAAATATAGACAAACTATTGTGAAAAATGTCAATATTAGAGGTTAAAATAAGAGAATTTTATTGAAGAGAAAGTCTAGAAATAAAACTACGTTTACAGACATCAACTCTACAAAAGGGGACATTAAAGGTAGGACAGGAACGACGACTTCTAGAATTAACATGCAAACCAAACAGATGTACAAGATCACAACTAAAGTACGAGTTAACACATTTATAGAGAAAAACCATATCGTGAAATAAAAATCTATTCCTAAGACACATTAATTTACAAGGACGATTAAAACATTTTTCAAAAAACCTAATAAACTTAAGATGCATCCTATCGATGCGAATTAACTGAGATTCGGATGCTGAACCAAAAATAACACAGCAATATTCAAAATGAGAAGTAACTAAATAACAAAGGCAATAATGGCACCAGGGCTATTTATTTCTCTACAATGTCTCCAAATAAACCCAAGCATTCTGTTTCCCTTACTAATAAGATGATCAATATGTTTACAAAATGTAAGCTTACAGTCGATGAAGACACCCAGATCGCGATGAACAGAAACTTTTTCTAAAACAATATCCCCAATTTTATAAGGAAAATATAAAGGTTTTAATTTAAGAGAAACAGACATTGATTTACATTTGGAGACATTGAGAGAAAGACCCCAGTGCCGACTCCATGCAACAACAGC